AAGTACATCAATATTAGATTTAACAGTCTGTGTAAAAATAAATCGAATATTACATGCGCTAATTTTTTTAAAAATTCTCCAAAACGGTCACCACCAGAAGTAAAAATTCCATAACCCACGTGACCGCTATTGGGCGGCAGACGTTCGCCTAGGTGGCTCTATCGACTCTTTACTACGTTTGTGTTGACGAGCGTTAAGTGAATATTTTCCAATTTTGATTTTTACATTGCTGGACAAATTAATTAAGTATTTCGATCTGAACACGGGAAGATAGGAATTAGTTGGTATTTCTGTAAAAGCCCGTAAACCTGTGATCTCGTGGTGAAACGCGATCTCGAAAAAGTCTAGGTGCTAAATTATTTACTTGATTTTATTATTACTAATTACTACTAGATCGAATTATAGCCTAGTTAATATTATTTTCATTTGCTTTCATTTTTATATAATTGATTATTATGATTTAGATCCAGAAGGGCTAGGCTAATAAATTATAATAATCATATTAGAGGACAGCCTGCATAAACAAAAGTTTGCATTCTTAGATCTAGATCTAGTTGACACAGTACAGGGACTTGCGCACACGCTCGCGTGACGATAGAACGCAAGCGGGCTCGTGACGAATTTGCATAATTTTTCACTCACAAGTGATCAACGTTAATGTGATAGGCGTAGCCTAACAATCTTTAAATAGATCTATCTAGATCTACACACCAGCTCTAGATACAAATTTAAGTATTAAAACTCCACCTGGTTCTAGCTTCGGACGGGCGATGTTTCTCTCGTTGACAAAACAACGCGAGCGAGCCGTCACTACGCACAGCCTATGAGTGGCGATGTTTGGAATGCATTTCTCGCTCAAGTGTGATGAAATTTAATGCAACGACAGTTTTAAAAATAAAAACAGATATTTTATTATGCCTATATACTTTTTTTTAATATTTAAAACTCAGCCTAGACAAAGCTTCCATGCTGGATAAGGGAGGAGGGTTAGATTCCGCCGTTAACTCAATCTATGTATTATTATGCATAATTGTCCTAATTAAACATTCCTATTTACACTGATTAATCAAGACTGAATAAAACGTGAAAATGAATACCTTTAAAAAGTTTAGATCTATATATTTTTAAACATTTATACGTGATTATTTTTGGTTCATTCTAGCTAGGCCAATGCCGCTGCCGAGAAAATCGGACAAATCGGCTTTTCCCTACCCCCTGCATGTTTAACTCTGTTTTTTGCATGCTTTTATTGTGTTTATATTAACATGTTATACATCATTCTGTTCGTAATTGAATTACCTTTTTAACTGTATTAGTTTGATTTCTCTATTATTTCAGACGTTGAAGAAATCGCCGATTAAATCGCATTTTTTACCCTCCGCGGCGACGTGCCGATTAGGGGGGAGGCTTTTTCACCTTTTTAAAAGGGGGGTGTTACTTGGAGTCTATAGACTCTGTGAGTTTTCGTACTACAACTGTGAAACTTGGTAGAAGAATAGATTAAATGTACACGTATAACGCTCAGGGTTCTTGGTTAAAATATGTTAAATACTTTCGGAGATATCAGACCGCAAAGTTAAACTAAGTTATTTGAGCTATTTATGGACCGATTTTTTATTTGAACCCTGAGCTGTATTCCTGAAATCTCGACGTTTATTAATATGTATGATATGTCCTTTAAGGCCTTATAATAAGGATGTCTATAGACTTTGAAGTGGACCGAAAATATAAACACGACTCGCCGACCGCTGTCTGACTGAACCGCCCTGCTGTGCTTCAAATCGCCGTCTTTAAACTGATGACGCGTTACAAAATTTGTATACACGTATCGAGTTTACGTACTACAACAGTTAAATTTGGCAGACGAATACATTAAATGTAGACGTATAACGCTCAGGGTTCGTGGTCAAAATAAGTTAAATACTTTTGGAGATATCGGACCGCAAAGTTGAACCAAGTTTCCCGGTCTATTATTGGACATATTTTACATTTGAACCCTGAGCTGTATTCCCGAAATCCCGCCGTTTATTTTAATGTATGACATGTAATATAGCACCTCGTAATAAAGCCGTCCATACATTTTAAAACCGAACGAAAATAAAAATTAACGCGTCGGCTGCCGTCCGACTGATTGGTGATCTACACATCGTGTGGCACAGCCGAGTGTGTGGTCACGTGACGCTAGGCGCTTGATCCGATTGGATGAGACTATAAACAATGTCTAAAGATAGATACATGTGTTCCCGTGTTTGACTCGACGGCTATTGCTACTTTATATTTATAAGCACACAGACATGTTGCATAACTTTGTCTTAACCCATTGAAACGTCAAACAAAAGTTTTGTTAGTATTTACGGCTGAAGACTATTCGTCAAAATTAATCTTCTTTAGAAATTAATCCGAATAGCTTCGGCCCGATCAAACAATGCTGTGATGTGATTCGTGTAACGTTTCATTATTGTGTACATTACATTTTCGTAAAAATGGCTTTAAAAATAAATTAAATTATATCCGGGGCTCTTTTCTACAAATTTTAATACCACTAGCTTGCCAAAGCGACCAAAATGGGGTGGGGTGGATGGGGGTAGCCACTGACCATCCTACACCGTATGTAACACCCATAGCCTCACCCCGCCCCCACTAGTCCGTGACGCGACAAGCCGACGAGCATCGCTTTTGATGTTGTATAACACCCGTACGGTACACGGTGGTTTCATACCCCACCTACCTCCCCCTTCACTTTGTGGAGTTGATGTTACTAGCCCTCGGACATAGATCAGGAAATCTTGCCAGACTTTTGTCTCTGAGATTACATAATATTCATCTGACACGTTCATCGGGTTGGCCAACTAGCCTATCCAGCGGTCGTGTTTACGTAATAGGGCATTAAAATTCGTTGGTCAGAAGACCTGGTTACCCACATGTCTGATTGAACTAAATCTAGGCAAAAGCTGGTGGTGGTACACGTGTCTGTGTATAGCCAAACACGGTAATCTTACACAATTTCTAGAATCTACTAGATCTACACAGTCAAGCACTCAAACACGTGCTTTTTTCTTAAGAAAGTTTTTAATTGTAAAAGGCCTACTGGTAGGCTTACAAAATACATAAACATACTTACTACTAGCATAAACATTGGGCATAAATATAAATTTATGTTATGTATCTATAACTAGATCTATACCTTGTGCAAGTTTTAAAAAAAAATATTTTCCTCTAAAGTTTATTTCATTGACATTGTAAAAATGATTAACTTTAATATGGGTAATAATATTACGTAATTACCATAAAGCACACTCTGATTCTGATCAGACACATTTGTAACTAGACTAATTCTATAGCAAAAAGGATTAAGATATTTAAAAAAAACAAGAAATATAATTATAATGAGATAGGCCTTTATTTTTGGAACAGAGTAGGCCTATAGTATTGCACATAGATTACATAACATCTTTTAAGAAGTTACCTAATCACAAATTTACTAGATATCTATAGCATTCTTCTCTTTGTATTGAAAAACTTGATTAGTTATATTTTCTTCTAGTAGGCTATTAACTTGAAGTTAACTGACAATGAGCAAAAGTGATTTTAAAACAAATTCAGGGTATATTTTGAGCAAAGGGTGGGATTACATAACCTTAAAATTTGATAGTTATGTAACAATGTTGGACCATTTCAAATCTACCATTAGCTTGAGCATATACAAATGTCATATTTTAGATTAAAACAGCGTTACATTTAAAGAATGACTTCTTATCACGTTGATTATTAGATGTTTAAAAAAAAATTTAAAGGGGGGTATTACATAATCTATGAGATTAGTAGGTTGAGTAATCGAAGGACACTTTTTAAAATAGCATCATTGGATTCAGCATACAAAAATCTATAAAATGTCTTAAAATTACATCAATTGATAAAGTATTCTGGCTTTTATACCACTTTTAGTGAAAAACGCTTAAAAATTTGGTCCATACCCTCCCAGTATTTTTCCTCTTTCAGGGTCTATCCCGGTTGTCTGAAAAAACTGCTGTTTTTTAATGACTAAAAAATTCATAACTTTTTTGTTTATGGTCAGATTTTGAAAATTCAAACTGATCTGTAATCAGATTGACAGCCCCTATCCAAATATGTAACTATTATATTGTTTTACTGAAATTAAATTTTTGCATTGGCCTAGCTATTCATTCATTTGGCGTTTGCTAAAAATATAGTAAATAGATTACATAACCAAGTTACGAGTATCCTTTCGATTTCGTTTTATTGCAGCATACCTCCACTTCCCCCTCCCCACACATGATCCTTACGAACCTCCTAGGTAGTTTTCAGGTCAACTTTAGGAATCAGATCTCAGACTGGTTGTCATGGAAAAATCTTTCACAGCTAAGCTGTATGGCACCAATAATTAAAATCATGTATTTTAGTTCATAATGAGCTAAAATCATCAAATGTAGTGCCTAGTTAGTTAGAAAAATATCTCTAGCTTTTATTGGTATTGGTTAAAAAAATAAAAAATTAAAATTAAGATTTAGTGAGCCTCGCTACTATTTACCCTTAATTTCGCAGGTATGTCTCGCATTACCTTCTCGCATTTTCCCGCCTCGCCATTTCGCTTTTCGCAATTTCCCCACACCTGATTGTCAACATTTGATTCTGAACACTGAACTCAGAACTGTACTGTTAAGTTTTACAAAAATTAGGCCTATTCACTGTGTTAGGCCTAAATCTATGTCCATACTGCCTTTACTTCTTTCACTTAGATCAGTTGAAATACCCAGCAGATTGCGCTATTAACAACATTAACAAAGTTATCTGTATCCATAGATCTAGATCTAGATCTTGTGAGTCTAGCCGCAAGCCCCAACGTTGCAACAATGAACTTCCGCACTGCTGGGCTTTGGCTTGGTTATGTGTGGTGAGAGGAGCGATGGCCAGACACCATTAATTAAAAACTAAAAACATTGGTTAGTTTAAACTGTAACTACATATAGATATAGATCTACCTGCATAATCAAAATAGACTACAAAATAATAGCCTTCAAGAACAAGGCCAAATATTTTTAAAATAATCTATCGTACACACTGGAACAAGTGCATAGGGGCTATAATTTAACAAAGGCGATCAACGCCATCCCACAATCCCTTTAGAAAAAGCTGAGTTGCCAGATGAATATTTAGTGGATTTGCCTAGGAAGAAAACAGGCCTCGGCATATGCATATTTGTTGATGTTATATTGTTGTTGTTTTTTTAACAAATGCAGGCTATCGACTTGACACTAATAATAAATTATGTATGATTAAAGCTAGGTTTTCGGCTAATTGCATCCTTGATTTTATTAAGTTAACTAGTCATTAATTCTCACCACTAACATAACGTTCAACACAGGGTTCGCGTGCACGGTTATTATAGAACACATTTTTTACTTTTTACCCATATTCCCACTCTATATAACATTAGTATGCCAAGTTGATAGATCACACTCCCTTGCCACCCCCCCCCCCCCCCACACACACACACACCTTATATAATGTATAGGTCAAATCAAAATTCATAAACCACTAGATCAAGGGTCTCCAAACTACGGCCCGCGGGCCGGATGCGGCCCGCGATGTCTTCTCATCCGGCCCCCGGAGATCTTTTTGTCCACGGAAAAACCGTTTGTTGGTGATGGCTGAGGAACTTTGCGCAGAAAAATCAAAGACATGCCTGAAAGAAACTGGCCCCGAACTGAAATTTGATAGTTAATGCGGCCCTCGGATTGAAAAGTTTGGAGACCCCTGCACTAGATCTATACCCTACATAGAACTAGATCTATAGTTACATAACTTTTTGTAAATCACGTTAGTACGATAAAATTTACATAAAGTTTTTTAGTCCTGAATCTTAAGGTTGTAATATAGTGAGACTTGTGAAGTCAAGGGAACTCACTCTTCTTGTATTAGTATTATATTTATACTGTTATCTTGAGTGATGTCCCTTACATGTATATATATCTTTGTCTCTCGTCACTTCCGCCCTCTCTCTTTACCATCATGTAGTTGAAGGCCAATAAACGTTTTATATACAACCACATGCTTCTATCGTCAATCCATTACATCTGGCGACGAGGATAAATGATCCACTAGAAAGAGCACCTACTTACTCAAAAAGAGGTTTGCTAGAGCATATTGGCTAAGTATTTCTAGAATAATGGCGCTGTATGGCCTAATAAAAGAATTTGATTCGAATGATGAAATCATTCATGATTATCTAGATAGGTTAAGCTTTTACCTTGAAGCAAACAACGTGACGATGGAAGCCAAAAAGAGAGCTGTTTTGTTAACAGTCATAGGGCCTCAACAATTTAGGCTACTAAAGGACTTATGCGCACCAGCTAGTCTAACTACCAAGAGCTTTAACGAGCTGAGCAAATTGCTAACAGACCACCATGCGCCTACCCCATCAAAGTTTCTATGTCGAGCTAGATTTGACAGTAGGACTCGTCAACCAAACGAGTCAATATCAGAATATGTTGCTGCTTTACGTCATTTAAGTGAATTTTGTGAATTCGGAGACACAATGTCTGACAGACTGTGTGAAAAGTTTGTGACAGGTGTAAACAGCCCTGATATTCAAAGAAAGTTGCTGCTCGAGTCAGATCTAACACTGGAAAAAGCAATACAACTTGCGACTTCATTCCAGCAGTCATCCGATGCGGCGAGATCTCTAGCACCTTCAGAGATCCATGCAGTAAACAGCAGGTTAGTCAACAAACACCAACCCCATCAGAGCATTCCAACTTATGCTAAACAGCCTGCACGTTTAAAGCCTAGATCTAAATCTAGTAATAATTATCAAAAATGTCATCGATGCAAAGGTCCCCATGCATCTCATCGGTGCAAGTTCAAGTCAGCAACTTGTTATAAGTGCAGTAAGCAAGGTCACATTGCCAAGGCCTGCTTTGCAAAGTCTTCGTCTGTTGCTAAATCTAGCCAGTCAAGACAGTACCGCAACCAAAGGCAGCACTATGTTAACTCTCACCAAGACTACCTAACCCAACCAATGAACCACTCTACCTGTGAAAATGCTCAAACTGATTCGCAGCCGGATTTCAACCTATTCTCTGTGAAATCAATAAGTTATGCTCCCATCAATGTACTAGTTTATATCAACGGTAAGAGCATCAGCTTCCAACTTGACACTGGAGCATCTCTAACAGTCATCACAAAGAAGGACTTTGACGCTGTCACAGGAGGATCAGTGCCTCTACAACCATGTCACAAGTGTCTAACAACATACACTGGTGACAATGTTCCGGTAATAGGAGAGTGTATGGTTCATGTAAGTTATAATGGTCAAAGTGTTAAACTTCCTCTTCTTGTGGTTGAAGGAAATGGACCACCATTACTAGGTAGGAACTGGTTAGTTGATCTTAAGTTAAATTGGGAGAGTATATGTTCATTGAACAATGCAAGAGAATCTAGTCTTACTTCAATAGATAAAGTTATATCTGAAAATAAATGTGTTTTTGGTAATCCTGGATTACTAAATGATAGAACAGTGAAGATAAGCATTAAAGACACAAATCCAAGATACTGCAAAGCTAGAGTTCCACCTTATGCAATGAGGAATAAAATTGAAAATGAGCTAAGTAGATTGGAATCTAATGGCATCATAAAGAAGGTAGACTATTCCGATTGGGCAACGCCCATTGTGCCAGTGTTAAAGAAGGATGGTTCTGTAAGAATTTGTGGAGACTATAAAGCCACACTGAATAAGCAAATAGAGCTAAATAGGTACCCTATTCCTAACATTGAGGAAATTTCTTTGAATTTGGCAGGAGGAGACAAATTCACTGAATTAGACTTTAGTCATGCTTACACTCAACTAGAACTGCATCCAGATTCAAAAGTCTATACGACAATAAACACACATAAAGGACTCTACCAATATGAAAGACTATGTTTTGGCATATCATCTAGTCCTGGAATTTTCCAAGCTGTCATGGACAGTATTTTTAAGGATATTCCAAATGTTTGTGTTTACTTTGACAATGTGTACATAACTGGTAAGAATGACACTGAACATCTTAAAACACTTGATAAAGTCTTGAAAATAGTTGGTGAAAAAGGTTTAAAGATAAACAAAGATAAATGTCAATTCATGCTGACAGAAATTAGTTTTCTTGGTTATATATTAAGCAAGCAAGGTATCAGACCTCAACCTGAGAAAACAAAAGCCATTAAAGAAGCACCCAAACCTGAAAATACCCAACAACTAAGAGCTTTTTTGGGCTTAATAAATTACTATGCAAAGTTCATAGGGAATCTGTCTGGTAAACTATCACCACTGTACAAGCTGCTACAGAAAAATGCAACTTGGCACTGGGGTAAACAACAAGAAGCTGCTTTTAATACAGCAAAAGAAGCTTTGTCTTCTGACACCTTACTAACTCACTATGACCCAGGGAAAAGACTTATATTAACATGTGATGCTTCACCAGATGGTGTAGGAGCAGTCTTGTCCCACATGGATGAAAAGGGTGACAGACCCATTGCTTTTGCCAGTAGAACTTTGAACCAGGCTGAGAAAAATTATTCTCAGTTAGATAGGGAAGGCTTAGGCATCATTTTTGGTGTTAAGAAATTTCATAAGTTTCTGTTTGGTAGGAAGTTCACCATCTTTACAGATCATAAACCATTGCTAGGTTTATTTGGAGAAAACAAAACCCTACCTGAGCATGCCTCACCAAGAATTCAAAGATGGGCTATCACACTAACTGCATACAATTATGAATTGAAATACAAACCTGGATCTGAGAATAGTGCAGATAGTCTTAGTAGATTACCTTTAAAAAACCAAAGCCTTAGCTATGTACCAGAAGATGTATTTGTTCTCTTCACTATCATGGATAACTCCAATATAAATGTGAATGATATTAAAAGAGAAACACAAAAAGATGAGTGCTTAATAAAAGTATATGAGTACTGTAAAAATGGTTGGCCTGAAGAGTCAGTGAATGAGGACTTAAAGCCATATAAAATAAGAAAAATGGAATTAAGTCTAAAAGATGGAGAAGATGCAGTCCATTATCAGTCAGAGTTGCCTAAACAAAGTATTTGTAACTTAATAAATGATTATGGTGATATGGCAATTTCAAATGCTTTTAAAGAGAATACATTAGTAAGAAAGAATGTGATCATCAAACAACTTTGCTAACATCATTAGCACTTACAGAAACTAACTCACTCTTCTTGCATTAGTATTATATTTATACTGTTATCTTGAGTGATGTCCCTTACATGTATATATATCTTTGTCTCTCGTCACTTCCGCCCTCTCTCTTTACCATCATGTAGTTGAAGGCCAATAAACGTTTTATATACAACCACATGCTTCTATCGTCAATCCATTACAAAGGTTTTACTGCTCACGAAATGTTATTATAGCCAGTTGGGTGAACACGACAAGTGTAACCTTTGCATGAAGTTATATAGGCCTAAATCTCAATCGGCGTTTCTATCTTTTATGTGGGAGGTCTACTTTCTAATATATTGGGTTTTAAGATCAGTTAAATTACGTTGTTTGACAATGGATGTAGAACATTACTTCCCGGTAAAGTATCCCACTGCCATTACCCCTACCTCCTCTATATCAATTAATCCTTGTCCATTACCACCTCAATAACCCCCTTTTAGTTATCCTCCATGGTAAAAAAAAAAAAAAAACTTCTTGAGATTACCCATTATTATAAAGAAACTAGCATCCACGTTGCTGCGATCTCAGAAAGAAGTGCTGGCGCATCATTTTAAGAGGATTTCATCGATGCGTTACCAATTGTGTATTTTTAGACACGTTACCTCGTTTTTCAAAACAGTTAATTCAATGTAAATAATACCGGCGCTATATTTCTTGAATCCTAGATGTTGGTGCCCGAGTTTGTCCACACCAACGCCCACCGGCCCATGCTGTATGAAATACTTGAGTGTACGTTGATCACCCTTCGAAACAGTAAAACAGAACTTTTCTCTGCGCCCGCCAAGGTGTCAGGAGATTCGCTGGACGATTTTGGTAGCCACCGGTTAACGCGCCCTATTCAATTTAGGCAACGATTATAGTAGCCCATCGTATCTTTAGTGTATTGGACTCTTTAAAACAATTTCCATAGTGCTCGGGGGGGGGGGGGCTCAGAGCACCCCGGGGCTCCACAATGAGTATGGCGTCAAAATTAAATTTGAATAGCGCCATTCATTAGGGACACGACTGACTACTAAAATCGATGACATAGGGCGTTATTCGCTCCCCTCCCCCGGGCGATCGCATGACCCGGGTTTCAACATGAGCATTATGACGCAAGTATTACGCAATATACTTTGTAAACGGTGGGCTACTTTAACCAGTTGCCCTGCGGTAGTGTAATCAGTTGTTTCTAGAGGCGCCTCTATACGCCCTTGACACCCAAGTAGTCACTCAGGGTTGTTCTACCTCACTATTACAGAGTGTGACTAACGTACACTCAAGGCTTACATACAGCATGCCATGGGGTATCTGGGAGGTAGTGTAAAAAAAACCCTGTACACCAACAATTAAGATCCAAGAAATATGGTGCCGACATTATCTACATTTAACAAATAACTAAATTTTAGAAAGTAAGGTCTCGGAACTAGTGCTAGATTTTTTATAAAGGAATTGGATCACAAGCAAACGTTAAGTAGGCCTCTTTTGAAAAGTTCAATTTTTTTGTGAGTAGGTCTAAATAACAAATTTTTCTTAAAATAAATCAAACTAAATTTGTACAATGAGCATCTCAAAAAAGAATTAACTAATTAATATAAAAGAACAAAAACAAAAATGCATAGGCGCTTTAATGTTTTAAGTCATTGACAAATTTTAATCACGGGTTTATTTAGAGTACATAATTAAGTCACAAAGGTATTTTATATTTATTTCAGCAAAGTCTATCAACTAATGATAAAGTTCACTTTTTAGAACCTTACAGACCATGGGGCAAGTAGAGTTCACCTGTTAGGGAAAGTAAAGGCAGCTAGGCATAGAATTGGCATTATTACCAATAGCTCTAACTCTAACTTAACATGAAACAGCGTTCATTTTGAGGCTCTATGGAGGAGAGAGGGTGGTTCTAAACACCTAATTGCCACCTTATAGTCCACAGTGAGATTTATCATAGAATGGTATCTAAAGGTCCTATCCTTTGACTGATCAGGTAGTGATGACTAAACATAACAATAAATAATACAAAACATTCTAATTACAACATTTCACATATTATGTCATGGTACATCCTGTGTAAAACAGTTATAAAGAAACCAATGCATTAAAGTAAAGCATGTTTTAAGCATACCAATCTTAGAAAGGGACGGAGTGATCTAGCGGTAGAGAGCTGGACTGCTAACCAGTATGTCTCGAGTTCAAATCCAGATTCAAGTCAGTAGACCGTCCCTGAGTCCACCCAACTCTGATGGGTACCTAACTCATGTTAGGGAAAGTAAAGGCGGCTGGTCATAGTGCTGACCACACTATCTCTTCATACGCCGAGGTCACAGAAACAAGTGAATTCTACTTCACTTGCCCTATCAACTGTCAGGTTTGAAAAAGGAACTTTACTTACTAAAATCTTAGAAAGACATTGTGTATTGAATGTGTGTAATTGATTCTTCTAAAATAAAAGTATTTTACCAAGTTGATAGTTAAAATATTTACCAGTTTAAATAAAACAATGTTCAAAAACTTTAGTTGAATTGGATTTCACTGAACATGTTATATTTGAAAGAAGCAATTTTATGTATGTTAAGATATGTGATCAAGAGGCTAAGGTTTAAAAAGGAATTCTAAATAAAAAGGTGTTAATGATATCATTGTATTTGTTTTTACATTTGCACAACGTTAAAAAATGTTATACATTCCATAATGGTAAATTACATTTTAAAACTTCATAATTGCAATTTATTTTTAACATTATATTCAGGTTAAATCAATCTAAAAAGTTGTAACAGTCTCAAATTAGAAAAGATGTTAGCAAATGTAACAAGAATTTGTAAATCATTTAAAATAAAAAATAATGTAAAATCACACTTTACATAAATAAATACCCGGTACCTTTATATTTACAGTAGATTCCGGTGAATTGGACCACCCATTTACTTGAACTAAATTTTTAAGAGCCTATACAATTTTTAAAATATGTTATCTGGTTAACCTGCAACAAATTTAAGTTAAATCAAACCAATGACAAAGACAGCGAATAAGAAGGTCAAGCGTTACTTCAAAATACTGAACGTTACTTCAAAATACTGAACGTAAAGCCTATAAGTGAGTTTAAAATAAAAAAAAATGTAAAATTACAATTTACATAAATAAATACAATCTGGAGAAATCAAGTTTTCATCATAAAACTTTGGCCGGTTATATAAGTGTTTCTGGTTTCCCAGAAAAAAGTTCAACAAAAAGAAAAAAAACCTAGCTTACTAATATATCAGATGATAGTGTCCTCATGTATAAAAAATTACAATTTTTTAAAATTACAAGTCAATGCTGCAATAAAAACTGAACCAGAATTCATTTAAATTTTATAGAAAATCTATGATATTTATTCATTATTTTCTATTCTTTATATTTTATTTCTAAACTTGACTTGTGAGATTTTAAAATATTTTGTTTCATTAATATATGGCTATCTTTATAGGCTAATATCAAATTGTCATTTGGCCCTACTAGTTTTAATTATCACAAGATACCATGGTCAATAATATGTATATTTAGATGTCTGTATAAACAACATACAAAAAGTTGCACTATTTAGCATTGACCTTGACAGCTTCAAGCTTTTTCTTATGGTTCTTTCCTTTATAGTGTTCCGTAGCATTCTCTCTAGAAGTTAGAGAAATCTTACAAACAGAACAGTAGGTGATACTCTCATCATGAGCTGCAGTAGCGTCAGTGGCTTCTAGTTGGGCAGAATCTTTAAGTTTTTTCTTGTGAGCCTTGCCTTCAACATGCTGGGTCTTGTGTTGTTCTGAAGTCAGTTCAATATTACAAACCAGACACCAGCTTTTACCATTAACAGTTCCACATCCATCACCCTGTGCAGGCGCATCAGATATACTCACTGTGAAATTTAAAAAATTAAAGAATAATTTGGTTATTATTCTGTTTCAGATGAAAATATTTGTCAGTGAAATTACAAAAGTAAAAAAATAGTTTGTAAATTTAAAGGGTCTCACATTTGATTTCCAATATTTATGTTTTTCTATGACAACTATTACTTATTATTTTAACTTCCAGGTGTCAGTAGATTTTAATTAATTGTTTGTGTTTATCAAGTATCGGTTTATGAGCCTAGTAGTTCTATCTAAATTTATGTTTCTTAATACACAATCAAACAGGCCCATAAGATCAAAGCTTGATGTAGGCTGTGATTGACCTGGCTCCTGGTATAATGTATAAAATAAAATATTGTATAAGACTTACTACTGGAAATGGAATCAGTAAGCAGACTACAACTATTGCTGTTATCAACCTCAGTAGAATCAGTTTGCTCCTGTGTGTGATTAAAACAAAACAATTAAATAAAACTAAGAATTTCATGAAATGTTAGATTAAACTTTTGAAGTATGTAAAACAGCATAGACAAACTAAAACACAACTTAGTGTAGTCTTTGTCAAGGCGTAAGAATGACAATAAAATACTAGTGGTGATAGCAAAGGCATATGTTAAGGCAAAATTTTGACAGTTAATTGTGAACGTCATGACCATATGTATGATAATTACTCTATATGATGTTTTGTATGGTAAAACTAAATGAATATTAGGGAGCTGGAAAGTAGTGTAGAGTGGTGGTACAGCTAACAGTTTGACACCTCACAGATATCAATGTCATGAGCTATACTAAAAAATTCTCCATTAGTTCTAGGTTGTGCTAAACATACAGAAAAATTGTTTATTATAACGTATATCATATAACTTATCCAAAATGAAATATCTTGTTTAGCATTATTTTAACATTATCATAGCAATATTAGTTTGTCTATTTTAACACTAAATCTGTGAATTCAGTGTATTAAATGAGTAAAAAAAATACACCACAAACCTGACTGTTTTCCAAAGAGTTAGAAGTATTGCCATTTTCCAACTGTTGAGCCTCTACCCTTTTTTTATGGCTCCTTCCTTCATAATGCTGTTTTGAAACAGCAACTGAGGAAAGAGACAACTGGCACACATAGCAATATTTTGTGCTGTCAATACTGTTGTCAGCTCTATCCATGCTTTTCACTTGAGGTGATTCTTTCTGTGGAGTGACACTGGGTGTGGACTGAGCACGTTCCATTATTTTCTTTAAGTGCTGCTTTCCTAAAATGTGTTGCTCTTTATGTTGGGCAGATGTCAAGGCTATATTACACACCATGCACATATGGACACCATTAACCATTCCAGTACCATCATCCTGTGTTAGCATTTCGGGAATCGCACAAGTAACTGTAAACATATTTTAAAATACAAATAATTTAGTAATAGTATATTTAATAACACATCTTCAGTTAAATAAATAAACTAAAAAAGAAATTTCATTTGTGAAATACATAATAGATGATAATTTTACAATTACCTTTACTTTTAGAAACTGAATCTGACTGCACATCCAATTCAAAATCACTTCTTCTAACTGGTCTGTTTAATATGTCATTTGTATTGACTTCTTGCTGCGATTTATAAATAGTTAAATACAACATTTTAGCTATTTTTTAAATAAGTTTTTCAAAATCTTTATTTCTTACTTAAAAATAAAATATGACTAAAACATTATTATTTTTTTTATATTTTTTAACATTTTAAACACCTATTTCTCAACTCCCAAAATAAAAATAGTTATACTACAAGTAGAACAGGCACAATCTTTTAATAATCACAGAAATTTTAGAAACTTTTTTTTTCAAAAACTGAGTTTCTAAAGCATTCTAGATCATGTCAAGCAGTTATCTTAGTTTGCTTACTCAAGAACATACCTCTGGTCGAGCAACTTGTATCCCCATTTCTAAATCTGTTTTTCCTTAATGAAATGAAAACCATTTTAAAACAATTTTTTTAGTTTTTATATTGAGTCTAATAACTCTTTCACTAAAACATTCTTTTCATCTTATTACCTCAACTTTTTTACAAGCTTTTATCAATGTCTAGATGTCTGACTGTGGGCTGTGTGTGTCAAATCTTGTAGCTCAATTTTTACCCATTTCTAATGCAGTGATTTCTTTCAAACTCAGGACAAGTTCAGTTTTGATGACATTGCAAAAATATCTTAATTTCAACCTAATTAGGTATTACATTCATCATTTAAATAATACATTTTTGAAAATGACTACATTAAATAAAAAAAAATGGCAGATATTATTAATATTGTTAAGAAATAGCAATCACTCTATATGTTAGGTGAGTTAGTATTCATTGATGTTAAAAATCAGATAGTAGAACGAGGACGCTAAAGGACAGATAATTCTGGGGCTCTAATGCAAATATGCTAGTAAGGTGGGGTGTTGAAGAATGAACTTATTGGAATAAAAGAATGTATTAACTATTTTTTAAACTTAAAAATTGACTTATTCCTAAATCTTTACAACAATATCTAATTACTAAAAAAGTAGAAAATAAGACAATTGTAAATAACAAGGGGTCTGCTTGGTCGAGTCGGTAAATCTCATGGTTGCTAAAACGAAAAGTCTCAAGTTCGAACCCTTGGGCAAATGAGGCTCCTTAGCTGGTGACAGCCACTCTTCTAGGAGAGACAACTCCAAAATCAAACAACTGCTGCCTTGTAATTTGTTCTTGTTTGGACAAAGGCTATGGAAGCAAATCCAAAAAGAAAGCAGGCTGAAATCAGAGTCAATGCCTCAATGGCACATAACCAGTTGACACATATACTTAATGGTCGAGTCAGCAAAAAGCTCATGGTTGTTAAAATTTGAAAAAGTCTCGAGTCTCAATCCCTTCCAACACTAAAAACTAAGAAGAAGACAAGCTTTAAAGTGCACTAAAAATAAGAAAATAAAAAAATGCCTTTTCTTTAGTGTTGAAAGGAATAATAAAAGCTTTGTTCATAAAATGTATTGAAAGGATTTCTGGAGTGACCAACAATTGTATTTTTACTACTAGTACTCTAGAGCTTAAGAAAATGAATGTTCATTTCTTTTATTAGTCCATAAAAAATCTTGTTATTATAAATATTTTTATATATTTTGTTTTAGTGTTGTGTCCACTTTCACAATGAATTCATCAAAACACTAAACCAAAATTTAATAACATATGAAATGCAACATTTTTTAAAAATTCAACATAAAATGTGTGACACTCAATATTAGTTATACACCCTTTGTCCTGTTTTGTCAAAAAACATTATGAATGTCTTTTTGTAATATGAGAACTGCACTGTAAATGTAAAATAGTTTCTTTGCTTGTAATAATAACAACTTCTTTATCATAAATTATCCAAATAGTTTTCTCATTCGTTTAAATACCATTTCAGGTTTAAATAAAACAGAATAAGGTAACTTTAACTAACATTTTGTAATAAAAACAACTCACTTTTTAGTTCTTCAAAGCCTTTGACAAGATGTGCTTGCTTTAATTCTGGATCTTGAAGCATCTTCAGTATGCATTCAAACCAATTATCATACTTTGACAATCGATCTAGTAGCTCCATATTTATGTCTTTCTCATAAAGACCACTGGTACATTTCTTGAGGAACCGAGCCTTTAATTTTTTTATACAATAAAGAAATTTTTAATTTTAGATATTCATATATAATATAAGCTGATGATTCTGTTGTTTTGGATCAATGAATGGATGGCAGAATTTTTAAAAATGATTTGATAGCTCTGTGCAGACATGTTTTTGTAGCTTTTTTCCTATTTCCTCTCACATCCATTGGTATGATTAAGAAAAAGGGATGTTAGTCCAATAAGTTAATAATGTTATAATTATTTAAAAGATTTGCATTTATCTTGAAAATTTAGTCTTAATTAGAGACTGGTCAGATTAACAGTGGACCCATTGACTAGATGTATCTGATTGTAAATGTGTACTTGATTACAATAATGTAAATATTTGTTGACTTGAAGTTGAAGTAACATTTCTCATTACATAAAGATCTAGATCTACCAGCCTGACATGTTACCCTGATGCTTCACTTTTATAAGATTAACTTTGACTATTCTTCTTCACTCTTGATTTTAATGGTTGGACGGGAATTTTCCAAATACAATAAAGTATAAGTGTCAACCTGTTATGTACCACAAGGCCATTGACTATTTTATTATTTTCTATAGATAATTTACATGTTAAAATATAGTTTATTTTTTCATTTCAACATGAATTATCATTGAAACATGAAATCAATTCAATATTACATGTTAGCTATTGAGATTTCTTTCTTTTTTTTTTTGTTCTTAATAGTAATTTTGGACAGGATTTTCTCCAACAAATTTAAGTTATCTGGCATTTGTTATGCGACATATGGGCTGTTGACTCTGATTTCAGATGCTATTCTGTTTGGACTTTTATCCATCAAACTAAAAGGTAGCAGTTGTTTGATATTGGAGTTTTTGCTCCTAGATGGCTTGCTGTACCCAGCTCTTCAGCCTCATCTGCCTAGGGTTCTAATTTGGGACTTTTCGGTTTAGCAGCCATGAGCTTTAAGTAACCGACCAGGTCTATAAGTATAGACTATTAATATTACTGTAAATTTTGGTGGTGTAACATTTACAAACAAATCAATAACCAATACTGTCTACTGTGCATGCATTTTTGTCAATTCCTTATCATTTATATAATTAAATGTCAACATGACCGTTTTTGTTTTGAATACAGATTTTCTATTTTTTTTTTGGTTACAAAAATATTAATAACAACCAAGAAGAAAATTAATACAAAAACTACACATTCAAGTGTTTTTTATCACATGTTTTGATAACCCTGCAACGTTTTCTAAAACAATAGGTACATAAAATTACTTACAATATCATCAGATGTTAATACGTTCTTGTCGTGCTTGTGAACTCTATAAAGAAAATTTTCTGGGACAATTGATGATATAAACAGTTCTCTGATGTTCCTTACAAGACACTCTTTGTATGCTAAATCTGCTGCAGTTTCCTCCATCTTAACTGAGGAATTGAATATTTAAGCTTTGAGAAAAATAACCTTGAATAAGCTAATTTAATGATTATTATAATGAATAATAACGATGAAAATTTAAATTAAATAGGTTTTAATACATCACCTTAGATAAAAATAGTACAACTAATACATTGAACGAACTTATAGTTACTATAGTATAACAGAGTATAACTATACTCTAGTTAGTAGTTAACCTATAGACTCAGTCATAGTGAGATAGTTACTACTAGTAGTAGTAGTCTAACTTGTGAAGTAAAAAATTGAAATAGATTGGGGGATTTGTTAAGAGTGTCAGATAATAGAATCGTCTTAAAAAAAGGGGTGTTAGGTTACTGGTACTTAACTAAAATTAAAATAAGCCGTCACTAACCCTATCCAACCCCAACCCTACAATAACTACCATACGCATAATAATTTCGACTTCTAACCATAGAACTAGTCGAGATGAAGGATCATTTTAGATACCGATGTCCAATAATAGACCCTTCCATAAAATATGTGAATTGGGTTGTGTAATCTCGACTAATTTTATCATATTTTATGGTTAGAAATTAGAGTTAGGTGTATGGTAGGACTAGGATTGGGGTTAGGGTTAGCATTGACATTAGCCAGCCATGTGTGCATTTAGTTAACTACCGGTAATTACCTAACAACTATTTTTTAAAGATTGTATTATCAGACACTGGTATAAAAATTCCCCCGAGATGACAATTAAAAAAAATATTACTACAATACCTACTCACGGTAAAACTCCATTTTAGCGTATTTTTTTCGCTGCTTCACATTCACCTCCGTTTGAGCGTATTTTATTATAAACACAACCATAACACACTAAAATGTTAGGAAAACACTAGGATTATATAATCATTAGATGATATATATAATATATAGATCTACTAATTTTATTAAGAATGTGTTTTAATTAGAAAAGGTAAAAAATATAAATATAAATTAAAATTAGTATTACTGTATTACAGTTCCAATTAAATAGCGTGTGATTGTCGGCATGAGAAATATCCCTACATGGTCAAGGCTTCACCGTGAGTTCACATTCGTCATAGCTTAGGGTCATTGTGAGTTCATGTAAGTTAATTTAATATAAATTTATAGTATTAGTATCATGCCTTGCAATTATGCGTTTCTACTTTCCCATCATTGACCATTGCCATGAAAATCTTAACTCACAGGAACATATTTCCAAGAAAAAAGTTAAATCTAGATCTAGAATAATAGACCTAGAAATCTAGTACTGTAGTACTGTACTTAACTGTCTGTACACATTCATGATTCAATATTCCAAATTTTGGATTTTTCTCAAGTTTTGACAAAATTTATTTAAACAAACTAAACCAAAAATTCATATGGAAATAGAATCTAGAAATATACACAGATTTAGATCTAGATTCTATATTTTAAAATATTTAGTATTTAGTAGGCTATTTACTAAAATGGTAATCTATCGTTTTAGGTATGTAAAATCGCCCGCAACTTGTAATGTAAAAAACAGGTGACTCCTTACATTTTAATAATTATTTCACATTTTGAGGAGGATTTGTGTTTTGAAAAATACAAATGTTTCATTTATGTACCTGTTTTTAAACAATTGAATTAAAACTTTTCAGTAATAAATGAACACCAGCGATGTTTCCAACAGATGCAACCATGCTCATTTACTATAGCAGCCATCTTGTTAAAGTTTTATTTTTATAGACTTATAGCGCGAGATTCAGGGGGAAGTCACTCTATTTTACAAATGGCTGCTGTTTATATAGCAAATCTTGCTTGCAGACACTGCTGTTTAAAGTTAATTTCCTGCCTAGATCTATATTGATATATTTCCATTTATTTAGGTTTATTATTCAATTATCTATTGGCCTAATATTTGACACAAACATATCATAATATTGAATATACATTATACTTCTATTACAGCCTTGACAATGAGGTAACGTTTTCGTACATTAATAGCAGCGGGCGATTTTACGTACCCAAAACGATAGATTACCACTAAAATTGAGTATTATTTAGTAACGAGCCGGCCCGCACTATATTGACTCCAAATGAAATAACTTCTGACAATAAGGCTCAGACCAAGTTGCTCCTGGCAACAATATTCAACAAGAGTCCAAGACAGTTATTCAAATGCAACTAAATTAAAATTTAAACCTATTTTCATAAACACAATAATCTTAATTTAGAAAAAGTCTAAGGGGGGGGGGGGGGGGTCATCCATACATGACTTCATGTTTTTTTTAACCATTTTCACCTCCCCCTCCCCTCTGTCACAAAAAGCCAGACCCCCCCTCTAAAATGACGTCACACCTCAGCCCACAACCCCCCCCCCCTCAAAATTGCAGTTGAATTTTTTTTAAACATCGATATTTTTCTAAAATCTGTCAAAATAGAGTATTTTAATCAATTCCTATTACAATTTCTTAAATCAGTTTTCTAAAACGCTATATAACGTCTAAAATTCGTTTTCTAACATTGCTTTTTTATTATGCAAAAGTGTGACCTCGCACCATCTGAGCCCTCCCCTCTACGAGTGTGACGTCATTTATGGACGACCCCTAGGCTTAAGACTAATGTCTACAGACAAAATAAACAACTAGGATTAAATGGATCACCCATAAATGACGTCATACTTTTCCCGATGATTTCCCTCTCCCCCAATCATCACGACAAGCAAGATGATGATCTAATATCATATTGCAGTTCTACTATACCTGAACCCTTAATCACAATTTCTAACGAAAACGAATATATTCTTCATCATTTTCAAAAAAATATTTTACACCGTCCATATTTTGAGTCCAACGTCATTTATGAGGAATATGGACGACCTAATAATTGACAAGTTAATCAGTACAAAAGGGTTTAATAAATATTGGACCTCCCATAATTTTGTGAGATCTTGGATTTACATACATACATAGCCTTCATTTCACTTGAAATTAAAGATAAGAAGTACAAGAAGACGGCCCTCTGTCCTACTTGTATTAAGCAAGACAGGTATGTATATTAAACAACAAATTCAACACAATATACATACGAATAGACATTTTTATCAAGGGAAACTACTCTAAATTTTATTTGAAAAGATGGCCGCTGTTTTTTTCTACTAATATTTATCTCAAACACCTAGTTTAAAGTTAGTTTCATGTTGTTTTAAATTGTTTTCGTTACTGATTGTTGGATGATTATAGATACCAGTGTCCGATAATGGAATCATCTTTAAAATAGGGGTGTTGGGTTGTTAGTAGTATTGTAATCTCGACTAATTTTATGGTTAGAAATTAGGGTTAGGCGTATGGTTGGACCAGGGTTTGGGTTAGGGACAGGGTTAGCATTGACATTAGCCAGCCATGTGTTTATTTACTTAACTATTTAGTTAACTACCAGTAACCTAACACCCCTTTTTAAAAGGAGATTCCATTATCAGACACCGGTGTAAACATTCTCCCGTTATTTTAAATCAATTATCTGTTATATTTTGTAAAACGATAGATAGATTGGTAATCTATTCTATTGTTTTGGGTACGTAAAATCGCCCGCGGCTATTAATGTACAAAAACGTTACCTCATTATCAAGGCTGTAATAGAAGTATATTGTGATATGTTTGTGTCAAATATTATAGATAAATGAATAATGAACCTAAATCAATGGCTAAATATATCAATATAGGCCAGAAATTGACTTTAAACAGCAGTGTCTGCAAGCAAGATTTGCTATATAAAAAATACTAGATCTATATAATATATTATAAACAGCAGCCATTTGTAAAATAGAGTGACTTCGGCCTGAATCTCGCGCTATAAGTCTATAAAAATAAAACTAACAAGATGTCTGCTATAGTAAATGAGCATGGTTGCATCTGTTGGAAACATCGCTGGTGTTCATTTATTACTGAAAAGTTTTAATTCAATTGTTTATATTAGGTTTTCTTATTAAATTCTTTAATTAAAATTGTCTGTCACTTATGATATATCATTACAAACTATATCACTTACTGGTTAATTTGAGACCAAATTTAATGGTCTAGCTTAATTAGGGGCCAAGAAAACAAACAAAAACAAAATGACCAATTAACTTCTTAAAATGCGAAACTCTTTTTCGCCATCAAAAAGCTCAAAAAGTTACGTTGGTTTGTGTTTTCCATTCGTGGCATGATGTCATAGCAATTACGACAACATTGGGTATTTTAGTTACAAAAAAAAACCAAAACATTTTGTTGGAAATAAAACTTTATATTCATTATGTTTATTAAAGAAATATCAGACATATTTATTATAAGTTCTATATATAATGTACAATTTAAGACATTAGGCCTTCCATGATGAATTGAACAATCAATACCCATGAAGATGATAATAAAATTAATATCCAAAACTAAAAAAAGATCTGACAGAAATCTAGATCTAGGCATTCTAACTGTAAAGACCATACAGTATTAGGTAAGATGATAAATCAACTTTTTTAAAAACTTTAAAATAAATACTCTATAATTATTTTTCTCTTCTGCAGTAGCATTAGGTAGGCGAATTTTATTTATTTATTTATTTTTTTAACCAGCTATGCGTAGTAAATCTATAGTCCTGTAAGTGTAAGCTTGCATGAACTTAAAATGACCGTAAGTTGTTTTACAATTTGCTTGTTTTATGAGGGAAGGGGTGGGATTGCCCACCGACGATCTCTAACAGCAATGCTGTGACGTATGTATGGTAGGCCTGCTGAACTGACGGTGAACCCTCGACCGTGTCAACATTTTTCTCCCGCAGACAAGAAAATGTAAGCAGCCGATCTCGCGAGCGACGATGTTTGGAAAATCTTGAATAATTATTTTATAAAATATTATTTCGATCAAAAAAATATTTTTAAAAAAGAAAGAAAATAAAGCCGCTCGTGGCATTTCCTATGTGAAACAATAAAATAAAGCACAACTGATTTACTCCGGATTCAAACTCGGAGATTCTAGGTCACCTACCGCACTGTTCTGTTTACTCTGCCACACACCACGATGTATTGGAAAATAAAATATTAGACATTTTGTATCAAAAGATTGCTAAAAGGAAATAAATACTACTTTATTTTTTGATATCGTACTACTAGTAACTGAGTAACTGCGTAAATTTTACACACAATTCCTATATGTTTAAGTAACACAACAGCATTAACGAGGTTGACTAAGTCTAAAAATAAATAAAAAATTGCCAGTAGGCCTAATTAGATTTAGCACAAAAAAGGCTCGGAATGAGCATTGTTTAAAATACAATACTAAGGCCTAATTAAAAACTACATATAATTTCATATAAATTATGCAGTCGGGTAGGCCACGAAGTATTTAGATCTAGTATTTACAAGGTTAACGACCGGTCACGAATTATGTTCAATAAAACTAACAGTGCAGTCGGCCTACTTGGCTTGCAGTGAAGAAAAAAAATCAATATACTTATAAAATTACTAATACTTTAATACAATAATAATGTCCACAATTTCTACACACGCTACAACTGAATTATAATTAAAATACTAGACTTAACAGTGCATTCCGCAAAAAACAAAAATTAGTTGTTTCTATCTGACAACTAGCGTAACAATGACGTAATGTAACTAAAAATAGCAGAGGCATGGTATTTCTATGGTGAATTGGATTTTGGAAAGGGGAAACATCATCAATGTAATTAATCATGGTAAATATCTCAAATATATATTTATCTAGGAGCTGTCGAGCGCTGTTGCCCGGTGGTCGGTCGTTTTTCGTTGAAGTTCAGTTTCTCCTAAGAGTGCTCAACAAGCAATGCTTGTATTAATTATAACTACATATTTCGCAAATTTTTCTTTAGCATTTCGCATTAAAATAATGATGAGATATTGCTAGATTAGCAGTTTTTCCATTTTTGTATATAGGCCCCCCCCCCCCCCCCCCCCAAAAAAAAAACACTTAAAATGCGAAAACCAAAAGAGCATGACGTTTCAGGGTCAGGCTCTGACTTCCAGTTTTGGTAAGGAGATTAACTAGTTTATATTATAAACAGGTACATAAATGAATCAAGGAAACATTTTTGTATTTTTCAAAACATAAATCCTCCACAAAATGTGAAATAATTATTAAAATGTAAGGAGTCACCTGTTTTTCACATTACTAGTCGCGGGCGATTTTACGTACCTAAAACGATAGATTACCGATAGATTACCCGAATTGATTACGCTAAAACTGTAAAACGATACCAAATGGACACCAGTGAGAAAAGTCTCAAAGGTATTTGAGAGGTGTATAAATTCATTTAAAAATCATGCACAGCGTAGTTACAATTAGATTACCGATAGATTACCCGAATTGATTACGCTAAAACTGTAAAACGATACCAAATGGACACCAGCGAGAAAAGTCTCAAAGGTATTTGAGAGGTGTATAAATTCATTTAAAAATCATGCACAGCGTAGTTACAATTAATATGGTTATAAAATCCTGTCTGTCTGGTTTTTTCGGACTTTATTAAAGATTGGATGTATTTGATGTTTATAATATTTTCTGTAACTAAATAAAAATTTTAAAAAAAAGCAAAAACAATTTGGTTTTCACGTGTAATGGCGACATAAACAATGGCATCCTGCTATTGGATAGGCCGCCATTGATTTTATTGTACACATTGTAAGCTAAAAATAGAAAACTAGGTCATGGGGTTTTAAATTTGCATTGTTATTTAAAAACTTGATCTGCAAAGTTTTGTAAACAAATAGTTATCGATCACTAAGTTACTGTACAGCCAATCAATATTTGTCTTACGAAAGTGAAACATCCGGTTATAACTTAGGCTTGATGAAAATAAATAATAAATAGAAATGTAGCCTTAAACTCAACAAATTATTTTCAAGTTCTCTGGATTTGCAACTTTTATAGCATTTATTCTAAAAATATAAAATTTCTAAATTAATTTTAGGCTTAAGTTTTTATTTTTTATTTTTTTTTACGGTCTAAATCTAAAAAGCACGTTTTTATTCCATGTCAACAACATTATGGATTATGGAAGGAATCTCGTCAACTCGCTCGCCTCCATTGCCATTGGCAAAAAAAATAATCAAATAATAGTTTTATAAAAATATAATAATACGCTTAACTTAACTGGAGGTGAATGTGAAACGGCGAATAAAATACGCTTTCAAATGGAGTTTTACCTAAGTTATATCTAGCATAGTCACTCACTCACTTGAGTTAGACACTCTACTTGACTAGATTTCCTACTTGTGGCTCTTCTTTCTGACTAGAATCTAGATCTATTCTAGATCTAGTAGAATCTACCTACGAGCTAAACCGAGCAATCAACTTTCATTTTCAACATTTCCAAGAAACAAGATTGATCCGGTGCGCGATGGCGAAGTAGTGCAATTATTTTACGTAGTATAACGTAGAGTAGATTTTTTACTGCTTACACTTGCACTGCATTTAGATCTTTTACATATGTAGTCTGTAGTTGATTGACGTCATTTTGTGACGGTATTTGATTATGGGGAGGGGGGGGGGGTGGTTAGATGGTGTGACTTCACACTTTTGCATTATAAATAAACCGGGAGTGATCTCCCCTAAACTTTCTAGAATATTCTTATATAACTTGGAATATAGACATGATTTTTAATTACTTAAACTTTTAAAAATAGAATAGAATCTCATAGAAAAAAAGAATTGCGCACTAAGCGAACACAAAAAAAATGTGCATAATAGTGCGCAATATTATTAGTACTTTATAAATTTACATGCGTTTTTTGATAAATCGGAAATAGCGTAAATTAGTACTGCCGTTCAACGGAAATTACTCAAAATTTGAAAGAAGGTAGAGAATTAGATCTTTTACTTAAATATGAAATTTCATTTATCTATCTGAAATAGTACTCAAGTTATAGGCTTTTGAAAAATTCAAAGTAGAAAAAGTACCACTTCTGGTTATCGGAAATCGCTCAACAGTTGATACGGATCTACGATTTTGATAAAGTACTTAATATGAAATTTCATTAACCTAGCTGTAACGGTACTCAAGTAATCGTGTTTACACAGAGACAGACAGACACACACACACACACAGACACACAGACATACGGACAAGATTGCACAATTATGTTTTTCCGTATCAGTGAGGTGTAAAACGTCGAGATTTGAAAAAAAATTCTCGATTTTTTTTTTTTGCACGATTACAAGACTTTCTCTATACTTCGTATAATCGAGAAAGTAAAAAGCAATGTTAGAAAACGAATTTTAGTCGTTCTTTCGCGTTTTAGAAAACCGCTAATAAATGTTCACAGAAATTGATTAAACTACTCTGTTGACAAATTTTAGACAAGATTTTCAAAAAGTACAATTTTGAGGGGGGGGGGGGTTGTAGGCTGTGGTGTGACGTCGTTTAAGAGGTTCAGGCTTTTTGTGACGATGTGTGACGGAGGAGGGGGGGGGGGAAATCGTTTAAAAAAACGTGACGTCATTTATGGATTATCCTTAAGCTGCTGCAGTAGACCTGCCTAGACCCCAAAATGACTACCGTTTTTACGTTGTTACAGCTATTGACTATCATTTCAGAGTTTCTTCCAGGCATTTCTTCAACCCCCCCCCCCCCCCCGAACGAAATGGAATTTATATAGAAAATATATACTTTATATACTTTTTAACAGTGACCGTCTGGAAGAAACACTGTACAATTTAAGTCTTAAACACTAAACAGGTCGGGTCGCAGCCTCTAGAATAACAATGTAGAATTTATACATATTGACGAGAATCGCCCCTAAACCTTAGATACGATTTTTAAATTAATTTAATTAATTTTTAATTATCTGGAACGCAGTAGGCAAAAGGTAAAGCTTGTACGGAGCAATTATCGTTCTGCGTTCGCTACTATGATAACGACATTAAATGAAGAAAATAATGGATTTCCTACAGTTTTCGTAAGTGTAAATGTTCTAACAGGCAAAGGACTTGCAAATGTTTTAATGGGCTATCTGTCAAATTTACACTATGTAATTTTATGGGTGGTCAACGATATGATGGAGCCGCAGCAATGAGTGGTCGACTACAGGGGCGCAACAATATATTGCTGAGAAATTTGATCTGGCTATCTACGTGCATTGCGCATCTCAGTCTAAATCTAGCACTTTCCGATGCCTGCGAACTACCAGCAGTGAGAAACTGTATGGGAATCCTTAAATAACGCATCCAACTTTTTAACACACCAAAACGACAAACTTTGCTTGCAAATTCAATAGAGAAATTAATACCTAAAGCTTCAGCATCTCAACTTAAACGATTGTGCGCAACAAGATGGATTGAACGCATGAGCCAGCCAGAGTTTTTTGTACATTTTAAAAAAGCAACTGTTGATGCACTGGAAAATTTGTCATACTGGCACAATACAACCAATACTTAAACAGCGGTTGGAAAAGCATTGGAG